TACCTCGTGAGCTCAGGACTCGGCAGTCTATTCACACCTACAGGCCAGTGGACACTCTTTCAATGATGAGGATGTACACATCCTGGACAGAGAAGCACGCTGGTTTGAGCGGGCAGTCAAGGAGGCCAGACCATCTGGTGCAACACTCCATCACTCTTCTTCTTGGTCAAATAGCCCTTACACAGCCTTGAGGTTTGGGGGTCATTGTCCTGTTGAAAAATAAATGCTGGTCCAACTAACACAAACAGGATGGGATGGCATGTCGCTGCAGGTTGTTGTGGTAACCATGCTGGTTCTGTGTGCCTTCACTGTTGAACAAATCCCCCAAAGAAACACCAGCAAAGAGATGTGTGTGCTACTCAAACTGTGGGGACACATTAAAGTTTTAGCAATTTTCCAGACTGACCTTCAGTTCTTAAGGTAATGATGGACAGTTATTTCTCTTTACTTAGCTCACTGGTTCTTGCCATAATATGAATTCTAACAGTTGTCAAATAAGGCTGTCAGCTGTGTACCAACCTGACTTTTGCACAACCCAAATGATGGTCCCAACTCCATTAAGAAGGCAAGAAATTCAACAAATGGACCCTGACAAGGCACACCTGTGAAGTGAAAACCATTTCAGGTGACTATGCCATAATGCTCACTGAGAAAAGGCCAAAGGTTTACAGTGCTGTCAATCAAACAAAGGGTGGCTACTTTGAGGAATCTAAAATATAAGACATATTTAGAGTTATTTATCCATTTCTTCTTTGCTACACAATTGCATCTATAATGAGTCAAATATTTGATGTCTTCAGTATTTATCTACAATGTAGAAAGTAGCAAAAATACAGGAAAAGCATTAAGTTTGAATGCAATAATACTAATAATAATACCAATACTTACACACTTCAACAAAATGAAAAAAGCAACAACCACAGTAATAAAGGACTCATCAGGGAATCCTTTCCATAATTCTAGAGGTATAAATAATGTTTTCAGAAAGTTTTATGTGAGCTGATACAAATCTGACCATGTCCCAAATACAGAAGATATTCACAAATTCATCAGTAGTAAGTGTTGGGAAGGTTACTTTTAAAATGTATTCCATTACAGAATACACAATACATGCCCCAAAATGTATTCTGTAACGTATTCCGTTACGTTACTCAATGAGAGTAAC